CTGTGTAACTGCCTCGAGGGTGCGTGACCATGTTAACACAACGTGGTGCGATCATCCTCCTTGCGCGGAGTGAGGTTTATTCACCCCGCACAACATGATCTACTCGACCAACATTATGGTAACCGCAAAAAAAAAACATATGGGGTGTGTTTATTTAATTATTTAATTGTTTTTGGTTTAGGGAATGTTGTTGGTTTTGGGGAGACGATATGAAAAGACGTCGGTCTCACTGCGGTCGATAAACAGAAAATACTTCTGAACGCCATGAACTGGGAGGGGAGGCTAAGCTTTTGTGCAAGGCACGTGAGTTTGCACGTGCCGCTACTTTTTGACGTCCCCAAAACCACAAAATTTGTGGAATGAACACGAACCAATGCGATGACAAATGCAGCAACAGTGGACACGTGGGAGCTCATCATTCAAGAAGCCATCGGACAAGCATTTGCACCATGTCACACAAGCAGTCACGGTAGTTGTTATTTCCTGTGGCACGGGAGATGCCAGAGATGTATTTTGCCCCATAGGAAATTTTTGAGGAGCGTATTCTGTCGTCTCTTTCCGACGGCCCCCTCCCGTTGCAGTGGTGCTACGAGAACTACGTGCAAGTGCGGAGCCTGAACCGAGCCCGGGACATCCGGGAGCAGCTGGAGGGCCTCTGCGAGAGGGTGGAGGTGGAAATCTCGAGCAACCCGACGGAAATGGAAGGGATCGCGAAGGTGACCACATTGTTTTTGTGTTCTGGGAAGAGACAAGCCTACTTGAGACGGCATACACGCAATCATAGTCTTGCCCGGTATACTAGCTGCCTGCAGGCTGTCCGTCTTGTTCTAAGGCGGAGAGGCTGTATCTCTTTCCCCTCACGTAGCTCCAGCTCGGCTCTGTACGGGGTACACGACACGAGGTGTCCGGCAGAAACCATCGCTGTGCTTAGTAATGCATAACGAGTGAGTGACCTCCCCCCTCGATCACCACTTCATTCGCAGGCGATTGACGGTGGCAACGTCAGTGTCTTTCGCAGCACTTCTCCGGTACTCCATTCGGCGAGATTTCCCAGCCACCAAAAACATTCGAGTATCGCCGCCATAGTCGAGTTTCGCCCCATCACACGGTGGCACGCCACATTGACACCTCCCTGCCATGCGCGCACTTAGGAGTTTCCGCGGAGTCGTGTTTCTCTTTTGCCGCCAACGCTACTACAGTCCGTTACTTTATGTCGGACTGTAGGCTTTGCGCGGAGTTTTGTTTTATTTCTGCCGCCAACGCCACCGAAGTACGCTGCCTTAAACCTCTCCCAACCACGGCGCTCTACCGGCTCACCTCTCCTCGAACACACGAAACAGTCGGTGACGTCCGGGTTTTTCTACAACACCGCCAAGATGTCCAAGTCGGGTGACTACAAGACCATCAAGAACCAACACACTGTCTACATCCACCCCAGCAGCGTTCTCCATAAGCAGGAGGTACGGCGATTCCCGGGATAAACGTGCGGAATGAATGACCCGGACGTGTGCATTTTGTGTTCTCGTTTGCGGGAATAATTCACGCTATATGCCGCTTTGCGGTTCATATGCATGGTGCACACTATGAGTGCATCGTCCTTGATGGCGTACGCCGCCGGCGTGCAGTTGTTCGTTTGAATTTTGTCCCCGTTGAACTTTTCATTCGAAGCTCCTGTTGGTTCCAGGGAGTCGATACGGTTCCCATCTCGGCATCCTTTGCTTGACGCTTTTCTCGATTCCAAAGGGTGCCGACGCCCAATGACCCTGGGGCATGAGAAGTGTTCATCGTTGCATGATTGGTTTCTACGCCCCATTCTTTCCCCCCCCGGCATTTCTTTCCACTCGGGGTACGGTGTACAATACTTCACTTCCCTTCATCTCCACGACTGCACTCCTGCCCGCCGAATTACTCGGCTCTCGATGTTGTGGTTCTTGCGTTGGGCCTGCTGATTGCGTGCAAGTTGACGGAGAGTTTGGCCTCGTGCGTTGAATTTTGCGCCGCCCTCCCTCCGTTGCTGCCCTCGCCGCTGAGTTTGCCTATTGTAGGGGTATCGTTGATGCCTGCTGCCGCGCAGGACAGGCGGGACTCTTCTTGGCGGGTGATTTGCCGCAAGGTGCCATCGTTTCATTTCACTTTTTCCGTGAAACTTTCGCCCTCGTTTGGTCACTCACTGTGCTGTCCCCCGGTCGACTTTGTGCTGCCCACGCCCCCGCCGTGGCTTGCTTTTTCCCCCGCGCATGACACCCCCTTGCCCGTTTCCGTGCGAGTCAGGATCCTCCTCTCTGGCTCGTGTACCACGAGCTGGCCTTCACAACCAGGGAGTACATGCGATCGGTGAGCAGCGCTTCTGGCACGTAGCGCCGCCGTGCTGTGTTAGGAGGCTTTGTGCTCGTGCGGCAGTCATGCCGGCGGCACCGAGTCTGTTCAGTTGGCGGCTGCACTCTCGTTGCCCGTAAACAGCTTGTTTGTTTATTTGCATATATCAGCGCTCTCTCTTGATGAAGGGGTGGCGGGTGTTGCGTCATTTGCAAAGTTTTGAGCGTTTTGCTTTGCTGTCACTGCGCCCGGAAACGTACGGCTGCTCCTCCCGTGTATTTTGACCTCGGCCTCGAGGAGCAGGAGCGGAGGGTAGTTGTCGCAGACGAAGATCCATGCCGATATATATAATCATACCGGCATGATGCCCATTTCGCTCCGAAATCGACACGTATAGGAGTGAATTATCACCAGAGCGACGGGCGCGTGCAAACGCTGGTGGCGACGTCTATCCCGCCTTCCCGTCTCCTGGTGCCACGGCACGCGTTCGTTTCCCGTGTTTCTCTGTTTTTTTGTCGTCCAGTGCATCGACATCAAGCCCGAGTGGCTGGTGGAGATCGCGCCGCACTACTATAACGGCAAGGACATCGCGGACAGCGCCGCCAAGAAGCTGCCCAAGGTGGTCGGGGCCGTTTCGAAGGCGCAAAAAAAGCCCGTGAAAAATGTCGCAGCGTGAGAAACGGCGTGTTGCCAGCGCAAATGAGTTGAGGGGCATGTGTCGCCTGCCCGCCAGGGAGAGTTGCGTGCTTGCTGCCGAGTGTGAGGGTGGGTGGGCACGGTGATAACGGTAGGTGATACCAGGCGTCTGCTCGGTGATAGTCGAGGCTGCAGCCTGCGCCGGTCCGACGGGCCTCGTTGCCTCGAATGGAAACTGTTCTGTACCGTACCATATGCCACACGGGTATCAATCCCCATGACTGTCCTGTGCGGATAGTGGGGAAAAAGGCCTTCAGGGGGTGGCGCGGTGATTACCGTTCATTTGGCTGATGCTGGCCCTTAAATACCGTAAGGATGCGGGCCTTGGCGTACTGTGCGATTATGTTTCGTAATGTTGTTGTTCTCCGATTTTTGTCGCGCGGGTGCCAAGACGGTGGTGCGTGTCAAGACCCCGATACCGACGAGGACATGTATCGAACTTATCGTTTGGACCAACACTTCTCTAGCGCGCACCCCGTTCCATGGCTCCGATCCTTGCTATTCTGAATGCAGTCAAGGCGGTGATGCAAGGTGATTTAGACGCACACCCACATGTGCGATCCTGCGCAATGCATACATTCTGTAGCGGGCGCCCGAACACTTCTACGTACCGCAGCAACAGGATCGCAACACCACAAGCACAGAAACACCCCCGCCGCGAAGTACTGAACTCGAGAAGCGGGATTTTCTCGCAGTTTCTCGCAGTTCGTCGACACCAAGGTATGTGATGACACACACGACACGTGCCGCTACGATGTCCGAAGATGAAATCGCAGAGTTGGGCAGTCAATTGGTGTCGTTTGAGTTATCCGTTAGGGTATATGTAGAGAGAGGATGTCATGGCCCGCAGGCGGCAAAACAATCACTGCGTAGAACCTGCTGGACCGACTGATGAGTGCGTCAGTACGCCTGGCGTCCGTGAGTTGGCGCCATTGTCCGTGGCGGGGTTGGTCAACAGTCATGATTCCGACATAAGAGGGGGCTCCAGTATCAGAGGGTCGATATCGGTTGTCACGGACTCAACCCGGTATTATTATGTATTTGAGTGTATTCGAGTTAAATTACCCTCACAGACTATCCCGGTGAAAAATGGGGCTCTGATATAAGAGGGTCGAGGGCCTTTGTCACACCACCCTCTCGTAGCGGAGCCACGACTAGGCAGTGTTTCTTCCAGCGCTGAGGTAAGCACCCAAGGGGCATCCAAAATCAACGGTGAAGACAACCGTAGTGCAGGCTAGCTCTGTCGGGCGAGACAACGGGGTGCGGTCAGATTTTGTTTCACCCGTTTCCTCGCGCGCACCGAATTTTCGAAGAGTCCGCCTCGTCACACCTCCACGAACTCCGTTCCCCCTTTGCTTCATACTCCGGAGTAGTGCTCTCACCAATGTGGCGGAGAGGGGACAACCTTCAGCGAGTACGCTGTCGTGCGTTGCATGAATGCGTGCATACCGGACCTACTTACATAGTAGATTCGATATCCTGAGCGCATTGTCGTAGACAACCACCTCGTGAACGCCTGACCAACCAACGGTACACCGAGAGCTGCGTTGTTCGACACCATACTTCCTATCACCACCCCTCAACTCTCCCCCCAGGATCAGACAGTGATGGAATAACGTGCACCGCAAGCTTTCACACACTATTTGGGAACCAACCGTGATTCTGTCGCCCTCCGCCCTTCCAGCGGTTTGTTGTGGTCCACCAACGGACGCGAACATCTTCCTTGGTTCAGAATAACATGGAGATACCTTAATGAGAGGGTCAGATCAAAGAAAACATTCGCCAAGACCAAGGTAGCACTCGGTATTATTACCGTCGTGAAAGAACCGCTCTGGTGGGCGGTAACCGGAAAACCGCCGGACTTCCCCCGTTTATAGTTTTCCCCCCAAGCACAAGTCGTTACCTGTGAAAAAGGCAACACCACTTACCGCCAAAAAATTACCGCAGTATGGTACTATTACCGCCCCCCTCCAAAAGTCGTTGAGGGAAAATTTTTCTACTTTCGTAGATAAAAATCGAGGGCACTCGATGTGGAAGATTGAAAGAAGTCTGAGGTTTGTGGCGCGGGATTGAATCGTACAGTGGCAAGTGAGCAAGAAATTGCGGAGAGGTTTCATAGGGGGAATGGACAAGCGAGGGCAGTGATGACGTAGTGGAGTACAACTTCAGCAGCAGCAGCAAGCATAGTGACAAGAAGAGTGCACACTGCAGCTGCTCCTGTGAAACGAAGGGGCGATCTGCCTTATAGGTCACCGTGTCCTAGAAAAAAGGTCAGGGGTGGGCTTCGGTCAGGCGACTGCGCGGAAAACCCTCCCGCCCTCTCACGGGGGTTTTCGTCAAGGGGACAAGGTGGGGGGATAGTAAGGTAGCGAGTTGAGGTGTGACAGCCTGCCTAGGTTTACGTCTGTGTGTGGGGTGTGTATGAGGAACCCGGGGAATTTTTGGTGTAGGGTTAGCCCGGGTGGCGTGATGAAGTCGTGGGGCTCCACGACTCAAAAATAATACTTCATAACTCCACATTCATGAGCATCACAAATTTCTACTCCAGTAATTAATTTCGAGCGCAGGGGGGATCGCAGCACCTCCTTCCTGAAAAATCTAGGGAACTCCTGCATAATATCTAAGTTTCTCAAAGTTCAACACCAGTACGAAACTACAATCGCAAAGCCCGTCCGCTGACCCCCCCTCCTGTAAACTGTCAAATAAGTATAGTACTCCTGAGATCGTAGACCTTGCGCCGACCCACAACATTTTTCCCACAAAAATATTTTTCTCATGATCAGGAGCGGCTGCTAGCAGCAGTGTCGTCAAGGAGTGATGCAAAAGGAAACTATAAGCAGACCGCAGGACCAGCCCACAGTTAGTTGGCGGCCAGCTAGCCAGCTGCCAGTTGTGACGTGAACCCATGCTCAACGGCTTGCCTAGCGGACGGACGTGTTGTTAGACTCCGAACGTCCGGCCTTTCAATCTAGAAAGCAACGGTGCGTTTTCCTGTTTCGAGTAAGAGTCCCTGAAGTGTGCACCAGCGGAGGTATTTTGCTCTTATTTCAATGTGGCGAGGAATTGCCAAGCGTGGATGGCGTTGGTCGGCCTTACTACACCCTAGTTTCATGAAACGTCAAAGGTGAGAGTGAGCCTCGGGGGCACTCTTTCACCCTCCGGCTGGCCACAGTAGGGGGAGGACCTTCTTTGTAAACATCTTCAGACCTGGAGAACATGGTACGTAGGGTCTCGGATCTACATTGGTTGTATGTTCGGCACTACCACTGGGAAGTGATTTCTACGGCGGCAGTAACCTTTGCATTTGGCCGGATCTATGCTGTTTGTTCGGTAGTTCTTCGTGATGAATCGGTCTAGAACTACATACATGTTTGTAGCTTGCGCCGTCGAGGAAGGAATCAACATTTGTTTGAACTGAAGACACCGAAGATGGTGTTCGGATTAGGATGATGAGGAGGTGAAGACAACAACATCGAGAACAACAGAGCGCGGGTTACGGCCCGTGTTGATTTGGAACAACGTATTGTATTGGGCCCGCATGTACTTTGAGGGGAAAATGTAGGAAACAGACAAAAGTGGGAATACCCGCCCCTTTCGCGGACAAAAGTGGGTACTCGAAAATCCAAATCGCGCGGACAACTGTCACGGTAGCATGAAAACGAGCGCTAAATACTGAGAATCATTCCATCTCGCGATGGTTTGAGGAGGGCTAGGGTTTATCTGAATCATTGACGGAGCCCCTCCAGGGCTTCGTCTCACTCGTGTTTGCACTGTTGACACGGTCGATCTTGAAGAGAGGAACTTTGGCCACTGCTAAGAGCAACCAGTCGGTGAGTCGATGCGGGGGTAGACCCGCCTTGATTAGTCCCCCCGTGCTATACCCTCCTTGATTAGTGCCCCGTTGGTACGCCCCCCTTGCTAGCCCCCCCTTGACCCAAATTATGTTAAGATCCCCATGAAACTGACCAAAACTAGTTGGACCCTATACAGTTGTTACGCTGAAGCATGAGTACCACCGGGGTTGATAGCGTTCACCACTGTTACACGATGGAGAAAGTAGCGATTACTTTAGTTTTGTTCCCACGTCGGGGCTTTTGCTTTTGGACCAGTTGCCTACATGCGTCAATTGGTAGCTTTTTCTAGCCAGGTTGCACCCGTCCACACATGAGTAGCTTCGATAGCTTAACACGTCGGATACATGTCCTAAACTGCCGTAGTCTTCAATGTAATATTAGCATCATAGGAGTACCTTGGGCGCGTGTGAGTTTTAATTCTTCTGTTCATGGTCTCGCTTCCCTTGGGGGGATTGTGCTAAGTCGCCATCATGCAGCGGAAAACGAATCGGACACCAAAATCTAGGTATAAACCTTATTTTCGCTTAAAAAACCTACATAGTCTAGACTAGATATAATTTCGAGCTGGTGCACCAACCCGCCCGTATAGTGAACACTGATGAAACGGTATCGTAGGGAAAATAGATACACACACAGAAAGATTTCCCGTTCGAGATATACTCACGGTCGAACGGGATGTGGTAGATTATTTTCAGTGTGTGGAGGAAAACCGGCTGGGTACTGGACTGTTTTCGGTCCTTTGTAAGTCTATACACAGATGATTTGTATCATGACACCAGCTGGTGCCAAGTACGAAACATGTGTTCATTTGAGCAGGTGACCTACATTCAAACCAGAACAGGGTCGAAAAAAATTATGATCGCGAAAGAGAGATAACAGGGGAACGGGCTCTTCTTGTTGGTTGTCCCGCAGTTTCGCGGTGCAACAACATCGTGCAGACAGGTTGGTTCCAGTTCAATATATGGTGTGCGCCGATTACGCGTACTCGGCCTATACAGCATGATGCAACCTGAGTCAAAAGTGCTGTACATGCGCGAAAGAGGCAGCTACAAGATGCGAGGTATCCTGTTAGCAGACTCGAGACATCTAGTCTAAGCATGACGCCTGCGCGTGGATGCCATTTTTCAACTAAACCCGTCCCCTCCGCCGGCTACGTGGAACATGTCAGTGCAAGGATTTGCCATCTTGCTCTCCATCCAACAGCAGGCATTCCTGCCAAGCTTCGTACGAATTGGCAACGTATACAGCGCGTTCTCGTGTGCGACAGGAAAGTGCCGTCGGCTCGGTAGACCTTCCGCCACGATTGTGGGGGCTTCCCGCTTTTTCCTATTTTTGGGGGCCAAATTGAGGTCTTGTCACGGCTGACTTCTAGCGCTGTGGTGTATGGAATTTCATCCTGCTTGGGTCCATCGCTAGCTATTGGAGACACCTACAGCCGGAGAGCTACATCTAGAAGGGGTGGCTCTGCTGGGGGCTTGTACAGCACGGTCGAGTGCAAATTGGCACTCACGAACGTCTAACTTCTTTTTTATGCTACGCGCAGCACTGCGGGTATGGGCAGTCAGGAGGGCACGGGGATTGCAATCCCATACACCTATGCTAACACACCTTGGACGATAAGTCAAAAACTATCTAGATAAGGATAAGTTCC